GCTGCTTAGGGTGAAAGCTGAGTAAAAGCTGAGATGCAGGGGGGACATAAAGAAAGTTATAGGGTTGTAGCTATAATCTGTTGAGTCGAAATCAACTGTCTTGGTTAGACTAACTTTCTTTACTCTGCTCATTCTAATCCTCCTTGGATTCATTCATAGATTAGTCCTAGGGTGAGTAGGAAGATGAGGATGGAGGTTCAGATCAGGGTAGTGGTGGGGGATTGAAGTTGGGTGGCTCATGGGAGGGGCAGTAAGAGGGCGATTTCTAGGTCGAACAGCAGGAAGAGGATAGCTACCAGGAAAAATCGGATTGAGAATGGAAGTCGGGCGGACCCGAGTGGGTCGAATCCGCATTCGTATGGTGATAATTTTTCTGAGTCCGGGCTTATTTGGGCTAGTCAAAAGTTCAGTAGGGTTAGGATGATGCTTAAGGTTAGTGATAGGACGATTATGAATAGGATTATGTTTATTACTCTTCTCTGGGTTTAGACCAGATTTTAAGGATTGGAAGTCCATTGTAATGAATATACTAGAAGAGTAGGATCCTCATCAGTAGATGGTCATGTATAGGAATAGTCATACGACGTCCACGAAATGTCAGTATCAAGCTGCTGCTTCAAAGCCGAAATGGTGGCCAGAAGTAAAATGGTATTTAATTAGGCGGAAAAGGCAGACCAGGAGGAATGTTGAGCCAATGATGACGTGAAGGCCATGGAATCCGGTAGCGACGAAGAAGGTTGACCCGTAGACTCCGTCAGCGATGGAAAATGGGGCTTCGTAGTATTCTATGGCCTGGAGGGCGGTGAAGTAGAAGCCTAGTAGGACTGTTAGGGTGAGGGCTTGGATTGCTTGTTTACGGTTAGCCTCTGTGATGCTGTGGTGTGCTCATGTAACGGTAACCCCTGAGGCTAGAAGGATGGCTGTGTTTAGTAGGGGTACTTCTATTGGATTGAGGGGTTGGATTCCTACTGGGGGTCACTGTCCCCCTAGCTCTGGGGTGGGTGCCAGGCTTGAGTGGAAGAAGGCTCAGAAGAAACCCAGGAAGAAGAATGCTTCGGACGTAATAAATAGGACTATTCCATATCGAAGGCCTTTTTGTACTGTGGGTGTATGGTGGCCTTGGAATGTGCTTTCTCGAATGACGTCTCGTCATCACTGGATTATTACTAGAGCGGTGCAGGTTAACCCGATAATTAGTAGTTGTGGGGAATTGTAGTGGAACCATATGGTTAGGCCTGAGGTAGTAAGTAGAGCGGCGGCTGCTCCGAAAATGGGTCATGGGCTAGGGTCTACTATATGGAAGGAGTGTGCTTGGTGAGTCATTGGGGTTAGATGTTCTCTTGTAGGTATAGGCTTAGTAGTAGTACGAAAACATAGGCTTGAATTATAGCTACTGCTACTTCTAGGATGGTTAGTAGGAATAGTACTAGTAGTGCTAGGAGAGAAACTGCGGGCATGGTGGAGGACAGGGTGACTGTTGCTGTGGAAATTAGTTGGATGAGAAGGTGACCTGCTGTTAGGTTGGCTGTTAGTCGTACTCCTAGTGCTAGAGGACGAATTAGTAGGCTGGTGGTTTCGATTAGGATGAGGGCTGGGATTAGTAAGGTTGGGGTACCTTCCGGTAGAAGGTGGGCCAGGGAAGCTGAGGGTTGGTTTCGTAACCCTGTTAGGAGGGTTGCTAATCAAAGTGGGAAGGCTAGGGCTAAATTTATGGATAATTGGGTTGTTGGAGTGAATGTATATGGTAGTAGGCCAAGGAGATTGATTAGTAGGAGGAATACTATTAGTGAGGTGAGGATTAATGCTCATTTATGGCCTTTTTTGTCTAGGGGCATTATCAGTTGTTTTGTAATGAGGTTAATGAATCATAGTTGTAAGGTTGAAAGGCGATTAGTGACTCATCGGTTGTCAGGGGAAGGCAGTAGGAGGGCTGGGAACGTTAATGAGATTAAGATTAGGGGGATGCCTAAGAGTGATGGGCTGGAGAATTGATCAAAGAAGCTTAAGTTCATGGTCAGGTTCAGGGTGTTGTGCTTGTGGTTGTGGGCGTTTTGTTGGATGGTGGGTTTGTTGTGGTAAATGCTAGGATTTTAGGTTGGATGATGAGTGAGTAAGTGAACCATGAGATCAGTATTGTGAGAAATCACGGATTTGGGTTTAGTTGGGGCATGCCATTAAGGAGGGGTGTTTGTCCTCTGTCTCTAGCTTAAAAGGCTAGTGCTGGTTCATAGCTTCTTAATGATTAGGATGAAAGTAGGGATGATCAGTTTTCGAAGTATGGGAGTGGGGCAGACTCTACCACGATTGGCATGAAACTGTGATTAGCCCCGCAGATTTCGGAGCATTGGCCGTAGAATACCCCGGGGCGGGTGGCGACGAACGAAGTTTGGTTTAGGCGTCCTGGAATTGCGTCTGTTTTCACTCCTAGGCTTGGGACTGCTCAGGAGTGTAGTACATCATCAGCTGTGACGATTACTCGGACTGGGGATTCTATAGGAACAATCACGCGATGGTCTACTTCTAGGAGTCGGAAGTGGCCGAGTGGTAGGTCTGTGGTGGGGATCATATAGGAGTCGAATGTGAGGTCTTTGAAGTCTGTATACTCGTAAGTTCAATATCACTGGTGGCCGATAGCTTTTAGGGTTAGGTCGGGTTCGTTGATTTCGTCCATCATGTAGAGAATTTGAAGGGAAGGGAGGGCTAGCATGATTAGTACAATAGCAGGGAGGATGGTTCAGACTAGTTCAATTTCTTGCGCGTTGACAGTGCTGGATGAAAGTTTTTCTGTTAGTATGAAAGTTAGGAGATACAGTACTAGGCTGCAGATAGCTAGGGCGACTATAAGGGCGTGATCATGGAACTCTACGAGTTCTTCTATGATAGGTGAGGAAGCGTCTTGGAAACCGAATTGTGAGTGGTTGGCCATGTTCGGGTAGTTTTGAAGTGTACAGGGTTTTCACCTGTGACTTAGCCTTGACAAGACTATGTGATCGTTTTACTAACACTTCTGGATAAGAAAGAAGCATAGGTGGTTTATGCGGTTGGCTTGAAACCAACATATGAGGGTTCGATTCCTTCCTTTCTTGGACTTGCACGAAGGCTGGTTCTTCGAAGGTATGGTATGGGGGAGGGCAGCCGTGAATTCATTCGACGTTCGTGCTAGTTAGTTCTGATTGTGGTGCTTTGCGTTTGGATGCGAAAGCCTCTCAAATGATAAATACTAGCATGATTACGGCTGTTAGGGAGATGAGAGAGCCTACAGAAGACACGGCATTTCACATTGTGTAAGCGTCTGGGTAGTCGGAGTATCGTCGTGGCATGCCGGCTAGGCCTAGGAAGTGTTGAGGGAAGAAAGTGAGGTTGACTCCTACAAATATCACCCCGAAGTGGATTTTGGCTCATGTGGAGTGGAGGGTGTAGCCAGTGAATAGGGGGAATCAGTGTGTGAAGCCAGCCAGGATGGCGAATACTGCCCCCATGGACAGTACGTAGTGGAAGTGGGCGACTACGTAGTAGGTGTCGTGCAGTGCGATGTCTAGGGAAGAATTTGCAAGTACAATTCCTGTTAATCCTCCGATAGTGAAAAGGAAGATGAAGCCTAGTGCTCATAGTATTGGGGGGTCTCATTTGATAGTACCACCGTGTAGTGTTGCCAGTCAGCTGAATACTTTGATTCCGGTTGGAATGGCAATGATTATAGTGGCTGATGTGAAATATGCTCGGGTATCTACGTCTATTCCTACTGTGAACATGTGGTGTGCTCAGACGATGAAGCCTAGGAATCCAATGGATAGCATGGCTCATACTATTCCTATATACCCAAATGGTTCTTTTTTTCCTGCGTAGTAGGCTACTACGTGGGAGATAATACCGAACCCTGGCAGGATAAGGATGTAGACTTCTGGGTGGCCGAAGAATCAGAACAGATGTTGGTACAGTACTGGGTCTCCTCCTCCTGCTGGGTCGAAGAATGTGGTGTTTAGGTTGCGGTCTGTTAGGAGTATTGTGATACCGGCAGCAAGGACTGGCAGGGATAGTAGCAGTAAAACTGCAGTGATTAGGACGGATCAGACGAACAGGGGTGTTTGGTATTGGGAGAGGGCGGGTGGTTTTATGTTGATTGCTGTTGTAATAAAGTTGATTGCACCTAGAATTGAGGAAATCCCTGCCAGGTGGAGCGAGAAGATAGCTAGGTCTACTGAGGCTCCAGCATGGGCTAGGTTACCGGCCAGGGGGGGATAGACAGTTCATCCTGTTCCTGCCCCTGCTTCCACTGTTGAAGAGGCTAGGAGTAGGAGGAATGAAGGTGGAAGGAGTCAGAAGCTTATGTTGTTTATTCGTGGGAATGCTATGTCCGGAGCTCCGATCATGAGTGGGACCAGTCAGTTGCCAAAGCCCCCGATCATAATAGGCATTACTATAAAGAAGATCATGACGAAAGCATGGGCGGTAACGACTACGTTGTAGATTTGGTCGTCTCCCAGGAGGGCTCCGGGCTGTCCTAGTTCCGCTCGAATTAGGAGGCTTAAAGCAGTTCCAACCATTCCGGCTCATGCGCCGAAGATAAGGTATAGGGTGCCGATGTCTTTGTGGTTAGTTGAGAATAGTCATCGATTAACGAAGGTCACGGGTAAGACGCGTGGTAAGATGGCCGAGTGTATAGGCGTTAGGCTGTAGTCCTTTTTACAGAGGTTTAATTCCTCTTCTTATCGGCTCTGTAGTGAAGTTCATGTTGAGTTGCAAGCTCATCGATGTGTATCAGTAGTACACCGGAGTCTTAGGCAGAAGCCTGTTGGTTGGGGCATATAGCTGTTAACTATACTGTTATGGGATCGAAGCCCATCTGTCTAGTGTTGGGCAAAATTCTAGCTTAATTAAAGCATCTGAGTTGCAATCAGGAGATGTAGGGTAATGTCCTGCGAATTTTATCAGAAACTAAGAGGGTTCAACTCTTATTTAAGGCTTTGAAGGCCTCCGGTTTAAATTAATCCTAAGTTTCTTTAAACAATAGCAAGTAGTACGGGAGAGAGGGGGAGGAGAGTGAGGGAGAGGGTGGCTAGGATGGCGATTGAAACGTTGGTTGGTTTGTTAATGTGCCATAGTTTCATGTGATTTGTCGTGTGAGGGGGGAGTGTGATTGCTGTACAGTATGCTAGGCGAAGATAGAAGAATAGGCTGAGTAAGGATAGTAGGGAAATGAGTATTGCTGTGAGAGCTATGTCTTGTTTAGTAAGTTCCTGGATGATGAGTCACTTTGGTAGGAAGCCTGTTAAAGGGGGAAGACCAGCTAGGGATAGCAATACGATAATGAGAATAGTGCTGAGGGATGGGGCTTTTGTTCATGCAGTTATTAATGTTGATAGTTTTAGCGCTTTTATGCTGTTTAGGGTGAGGAATACGGCCGCAGTCATTAGGCTGTACAGGTAGAAGTTAAGTAAAGTAAGTTTAGGGTTGTAGGCGAGAATAATGGCCATTCAGCCTAGATGTGAGATGGAGGAGAAAGCCAGGATTTTGCGGATTTGCGTCTGGTTAAGGCCTATTCATCCTCCCAGGGCTGTGGATAGCACAGCCAGGGTAGTTAGCAGTGTAGGGTTTAATGAGCTAGATGTGAGGTATAGTAGGGTAATCGGTGGAAATTTTATGACCGTTGATAGCAGGAGGCTGGTGGTGAGGGAAGTGCCTTGGAGGACTTCAGGGAATCAGAAGTGGAATGGGACTAGTCCTAGTTTTATGGCAACGGCTGCTGTCAGGATCAGGCAGGATGTTGGGTGTGTTAGCTGTGCAATATCCCACTGTCCAGTATGCCATGCGTTAGTTATGCTAGAAAACAGAACGAGGGTGGAGGCGGCTGCTTGGACTAGGAAATATTTGGTTGCTGCCTCAATGGCGCGCGGGTGGTGTGATTTTGAGATTATGGGGAGAATGGCTAGTGTGTTGATCTCAAGGCCAGTTCAGGCCATAATTCAGTGGTTGCTTGAGATTGTGATTGTTGATCCTAGGAGTAGGCTGGTGACGAAGATTAGTTTTGCCTGGGGGCTCATTAATAGGGGAAGGGGTTAAACCATCATTTTCGGGGTATGGGCCCGATAGCTTACTTAGCTGACCCTACTGCATAGGAAATAATATAAAGGAAGTATAGAGGGTTTTGATCCCTTTTGTGTAGGTTCAATTCCTGCTTTCCTAAATTTTCGGAAATGAGAGGATTGGTTACCTCTGTGCTCACTTTATCATAGTGGTCCTTGAAACTCGGGCACATTTCCTTTGAGGCTATAGGTATGGGGGTAAACCTGCATAGCAAATGGGCAGGCTTGTGTGTCATAGGCATAGAGCCAGTGTGAGGGGTAGGAAGTTTTTCCATAGGAGGTGCATGAGTTGGTCGTATCGGAATCGAGGGTAAGATGCACGAATCCATAGGAAACCTGCAGAAAGAAGCAGAGTTTTGGTGGCTAGTACTACGGGGAAAAGTTCTTGAGGTAGGTTAAGAAGACTTGGGTTGAAGAATAGGATTGCAGTAAGCGTGTTTATGAATATAATGTTAGCGTATTCGGCTAGGAAGAATAACGCGAAAGGACCCGCTGCGTATTCTACGTTAAAGCCTGAGACTAGTTCGGATTCTCCTTCTGTTAGGTCGAAGGGGGCACGGTTTGTTTCGGCGAGGGTAGAGACGTATCATATTATTGCAAGTGGTCAGCAGGAGAAAATTAGGTATAGGGGTTCTTGCGTAATCGCAAGGGTTCCTAGGGTGTAGTTGCCGCTAAGAAGGATAATGGAGAGGAGGATAATTGCTAGTGTAACTTCATATGAAATAGTCTGAGCTACTGCCCGTAGCGCACCAATTAATGCGTATTTAGAATTAGAGGCCCATCCCGATCATAGAATGGAATAGACTGCTAAGCTTGATATGGCTAGTAGGAATAAAAGTCCTAGGTTGAGGTCGGCAAGGGGGAATGGGAGTGGGAGAGGTGCTCAGATTGAGATGGCCAAGAGAAGCGCTAGTATGGGGGTCGTGACAAAGAGAACTGGAGAGGAAGTAGATGGGCGAATTGGTTCTTTGATGAACAGTTTCACTCCGTCTGCTATGGGTTGGAGAAGCCCAAAGGGACCTACTACGTTTGGGCCTTTTCGGCCTTGCATGTAGCTGAGGATTTTACGCTCTACTAAAGTTAAGAAGGCCACGGCAATCAGGATGGGCAGAGCGTAGGAGAGGGCTATGACGAAGCTAATAAGAAGGGGGTAGTTGTTCATGGGTGGGGGAAGATAAAGCTAGGGAGAGGATTTGAACCTCTGGATTAAAGGACTTAAGCCTTTTGCATTTGCCGAGCTCTGCCACGCTAGCTGGTCCTTTTCTAGGACGTGGTTGTGGTGAGATAGCCTTTTGTAATTAGTTGCATTCATTACTTAAGGCGAAGGCTTGCTTGYRGTATTGGCCTCACTTTTCCGATCCTTTCGTACTGGGAAGAGTTCATCATAGATAGAAACCGACCTGGATTGCTCCGGTCTGAACTCAGATCACGTAGGACTGTTAATCGTTGAACAAACGAACCCTTAGCAGCTTCTGCACCGCTAGGATGTCCTGATCCAACATCGAGGTCGTAAACCTCC